CATTTGAGGCAGGTGATGTGCTGTCAGCTGCCATTCACAAGAGCATCAGGAACACACTCGCTGTGTTGGCGACAGGGAAGAAGCAGAGTAGAGCCTCTAAAAGCCAAGCCTTCTGCTGTGGAGTGGAGGTGTGCGTTACCTCACCCCCAAGTCTGAACAAATGGATGAAGTTCAGTGGAAACCAGCCACTTTCGTAGAGGTAAACCTTCCTAATTTGCAGAATTCAGTGTCTTGGATTCCCAGGGCCACTGCATGCCATGCTAGAGGCTCTTCTGCCTCCCTGGCATTTTGTTTCCAGAGAGAGAGATTCAACCTCCAAAATGCTCTTTGTCTTTGCTGCTTCGCAGCTTCGTGGGGCCCAGGTCTGGATACAGACAGCACTAGAATCTACCAAGAGCCAGTCTGCTTGAGCCAGCAGATGACAAACTGTTTTTCCCTACAAGGGCAGGAACTAGAGTCTTCACCGAGCATATGGCTCACCATAGAGGTAGTGTTTGAATATATATGTATATATGCATATATATAATCAAATAAATGAATATACAAATAACTGGGCATAGTACTACACACCTGTAATCCCAGAACTTGGTAAATAGAGTCAGGGGGACCACAAATTCAAGGACAATGAATGAATGAGAGAGAGAGAAAATGACTGAAAAGAGAAGTTGTAACGATGGCCTTCTCCCATTTATGAATAGTACATGGCAAGAGGGGTCAGTAGGTACAAGCACTTCTTGTCAACCCCGACAGACTGCATTTGACCCCTAGAACCCACAAAAAGCCACCTGAGTGCCTTGCATCTGTAACCCCAACACTCCCATAATAGCACTGTGGAGAGTAAGGGCAGGAGAGTCACCTTGAAACTTATAGGGCAGCTCTCCTGAACTATGCATAGTGTCAGAAACGAGAGATCCTCCCTCAACAAGGAAGGAGAGAAATGGCTCCTGAAAGTTGTGGGTGGGGGGACTGGAGAGATGGCTCATTGGTTAAGAACATTGGCTACCCTTCCAGAAGTCCTGAGTTCAATTCCCAGCAACCACATGGTGGCTCACAACCATCTTTAATGAGCTCTGATGCTGTCTTCTTCTGGCATGTAGGCACTATGTGTAGATATACAAAACAAATTTTTTTTTTTTGGTTTTTCGAGGCAGGGTTTCTCTGTGGCTTTGGAGGCTGTCCTGGAACTCGCTTGGTAGTCCAGGCTGGTCTCGAACTCACAGAGATCCGCCTGCCTCTGCCTCCCGAGTGCTGGGATTAAAGGCGAACAAATATTTTTTTTTAAAAAAGAAACATGTCCTCAGACCTCCACACACTTGACACAGCATGTGTGCTCTCCCTCAAATAATAATAAGTAAAATAATTTTTAAATAGGAGAGAACAGGAAACATTTTTTGAAAAATAGTCTTGGGCTGGCGAGACTGCTCAACAATTAAGGGCACTGGCTGCTCTTCCAGAGGACCTGAGTTCAATTCCCAGCACCTACATGACAGCTCACAACTGTCTCTATGTAACTCCAGTTTCAGGGATCTAACAGACACATATGCAGGCAAAATAATGCACATGAAATAAATAGTAAGTCATTAAAAAAGAAAAATAATCCCAACACATGAAATAGTGATTCAAAGAGAATGATAACCCACAGTGAGATCACCTACACAATCTGATGTGTTAGTTTAGGCGTCATTACACATAAAGAAGCAAGAGATGTACCCCAGCAAGGAAAGAGGTAGAGGGCTTGACACTGTACCTCCATTAGCTGCTTGAGAGTGTCATTACAGGCACCCAGCTTGGTCATAGCAAATGCCGTGGAGATGCTCAAGGGTGACAAGAAAATGTTGTCATTGTCATTCTTGGAGTCTGCCAGGTGCTGATAGAAGGTGGTGGCAAATCGAGAATTGGCCTTGGATAGTTCCCAGACCCGACGATTGGTGGCCTCTGGGACTTTCTGCTCTAGGCCATCTTCATCAGTGGCCTTCTTGGTTGGAGATCGGTAAATGCACATGGGGTTCATAGGGATGTCCCGGGGCTTTGCTATGCAGATGTCATCCACAGGGTTTCCATGACAGATCACACAGTTCCAGGCACCAATGAGTAGCAGGGAGAGGAGACATACCTTCCTACAAGGGGACAGAACAGTGACTGCCTATCCCCACTGGCCAGCACAGTCTTATCCCTGAGAAACACAGGATTCTGGCCTTTGCACGTGAGCTAAGCATCACTGTCCAGGAGAAGACCAGTCCTAGGCTCCTTCACAGTTGTATTCTGGATATATGTGTGTGTTTATGCTTGGAGAAGGAGGATGCAGTTTCCTTTGATAAGTGGAACACCCACATGTGTCCTCTGGAGAGTCAGAGAGCAAAGGGAGCCACCTGAAAGTGTTCAGGAGAGTCCCCAGACATGGATGGAATGTAGCCCAAATCTTAAAGGCCAGGAAGGCTTTGACCAAGAGGATGAGAGAGTGAATGCAGCCAAGGAAGCATCAGGGATGACGATTCCCAGATCCATAGCTCCAGCCTGAACTCTGACCTCCAGATTGACTATTGACCGGACAGTCCTGTCTGGAAGGCCTGCCGATTCCATAGTGAGATCTGACTGCTGAGCTGGTGTTCTCAGCACACACCTGCTCTTCCATCCTTCAACCTGTGGATCCTGACACCAGGCCAGAAACCTGAAAGTCACCCTGGATCCCTCCCCTCCTTGTTTAGCCTGATCCCAGATTCAGTTAAGGCCACTTCCTTGCTCTCTGACCTTTACTGCCTCTGCCTGAGTTCTAGCCTCATTCTTTTCTCTGCCTTAGTTCTACCCTCATTCTTTTCTGTCTCCTGAATTTTTTAAATAGCTACCAACAGGGGTCACTAAAAGTAAGGATAATCTCACTTTGATGGTGCTAGGGATTCTATTTCTTTTTTTTTTTTAAAGATTTACTTATTTGTTATGTATATAGATAATGTTCTGTCTGCATGTTTGCCTGCAGGCCAGAAGAAGACATTATTACAGATGGTTGTAAGCTACCATGTGGTTGCTGGGAATTGAACTCGGGACCTCTGGAAGAGCAGTCAGCACTCTTAGCCTCTGAGCCATCTCTTCAGCCCTGGTACTAGGGATTCTGATAGTGTCTCAGTAGCCTAGACTGCCTCATCCTCACTATGTAGCTAAGGATGACCTTGAACTTGTGGTTTTCCTACCTCTGGATCCCAAATGCTAGAATTGTAGGCATGTGCTGCCATGCCTAGCTTGATACTTTTCTAAAATGAAATAGTAGCCAGGTGTGGTGGGGTATATACCCGAAGTCTCAACATTTGGGAGGCTGAGATGGGAGGGTCAGGAGTACAATGGCCTGGACTACATAATACCTCAATTTAAAAAAATGTACTGCGATTAGCGAGAGAATTTGGACACTCAATAAAGTAAACTAAGAAATAAATTCTCCAGATTATGTCTGTAGCTAAGACAGTGTGGGCCAGGCTATTGAGTCTCAAGAAGGGAGTCTGTTCCTGGGCACTGAGTCTTTCCAGTCCCATTCTGGAAGAAAAAGTCAGGCACAGAGTACAGAAAAGACTTGCCGAGGTAGTCTGCTCGGTGGGAGGGGAGGAGGGGTGCCGAGGCTGAGGGCAGGCAAAGGATACATGGATTCTTGTGTGGTCTGAAACCAATTCTACAGTGGGAGAAGAGGAGATGGAAAGGGAAAGAAGGAACCAGGGTGACGAGGGAGGAGGGGTGAGGGAAGGGCAAGGAACTATCACCCCATCTCCATTGCCTTGTGTTTCCCATTTTGTTCTTCAGGGCATTTGGAAATGAGAGTGGAGACGGAGGGGGCACAGTGGTCAGGCTGCCCTCACTTCCAGCTTCCTTCAACACTCAAATCAAGGAGGGTGTGGAGCCAGACGGGCAGTGGTGCATGTCTTTAACCCCAGCACTCGGGAGGCAGACACAAGAGGATGTCTGTGAGTTCAAGGCCAGCCTGGTCTACGGAGTGGGTTCCAGGACAGCCTCCAAAACAATACAGAGAAACCCTGTCTGTGGGAAAAAAGAAAAAAAAAAAACAAGAGAAGAAGGGTGTGGAATCCAGGGAGGAGTCCCTCTGTGAAAAGGGAACAGGGCTTTAGGAGTTAGTCAGACGTCCCTGAGACAGGGGGAACTGAGTAGGAGAGAATAGCAAATTAGACGGCTGCCCACCTCTTCCCATGGGGGAAACGGCATCTTTGACTTAACTACCAGGGAGAGGACCTGGTCAGAGGTCATCCTTGTGAGTTCTTCAGAGGTCAGGAAACTCAGCAAGAGCTGACAGAGGGATAGCCCACCCCTTACCTCGCTCCAGCGGCCGCGCTTCCTATCCCATTGGAATACATGGCTGACTCGCTTCTACAGACACTCACTCTGAAAGCTGCTTCTTCCCCTAAATCTGACAGAGGTCCAGAGGCCAGGTGGGGGAGGGGAGGGACCTGGTCAGGAGAGGGCTGAGGTCAAAGGCTGATGACCAGTTAGTTCCTAGGGTTAAGCAAAGCATGGAACTCAGTGTTGTTTAATTAGTAGAAAAGCTAAAGTTCAGTCAGGCCTAGGGAAAGTGTAGCCCCCCTTCTTGCCCACAGCCATTCATTCTCCTGTCACCTTTATGAGGAAAAAGGGAGAACATGGAGAATTCAAACCTACTTAAGAGGTACCTGACTCAGGAGGGCTCTGTAGGAAAAAAAATCTAATTAATCAAGTCAGGAGATCACAGAAGTGGAGGGATGCGAGTGGGAACAACAGCTTTTATTGCTCCCTGCCTCACATGGGCTGGCCACACATTTGTTATGAAGCTAAAGTCGACCTTGAACTCCTGCTCTTCCCGTTCTACCTTCCAAGTGCCAGCATTACAGATGTGAGCCTCTGCAACTGGCTTCCTTTACTGTGAGCAAGGGCAGCAACTATTGAAATATTTCTTTCTTTTCTAATCACAAAAGTTTATTTGGCAACGAAGTTTCATATGAAAATGTACACAACCCAATTCTAGACCACAGTCAACAAGCCCTCTGGGGAGAGATGTGTATTCCCCTGCTGAGAGCCATTGTTTAGACTCTTTCCGAGCCTTTTAGCATGATGATGCTATTTCCTCGGATGACCACCATTCTCATGTTATTCTGTCGCCCCAAGTTGCCATCTCCACATACTTTTCAATCACAAGATTCATAAGGGCCAGACAGTGGTGGCGCACGCCTTTAAATCCCAGCACTCCGGAGGCAGAGGCAGACAGAACTCTGTGAGTTCCAGGCCAGCCAGAGCTGTTAGAGAAACCCTGTCTTGGAAGATTCATAAAGGGATCAAAGTCCCATAGTATTCCTTGTACATGTCTGCCACCATTTTATTTTTTATTTTAGAAACACTCTTATTTACATATCCATCCCCCCATTCCCTTGCCCTCCCACTTCCTATGCTTCCCATCGACCCCCCACCCCACCCCCACCCACTCTCCAGGGATAGTGAGGCCCTCCACGGGGGACCATCAAAGTCTGTCACATCATTTGGGGGGGGGCAGGCTTTCCTTTCTGTATCTGGGCTGCAATAGTATCCTCCTTAGGGAATGGACTCCCAAAGTCCATTTGTGCTCTAGGAATAAACATTGGCTCCACTGTTACAGGTTCTATAGACCGCCTTGGCCTCCTAGCTGGCACCCACATTCAGAGGGCTTGGTTCAGTCCAATACTGGTTCCCCCTCTTTACGACTAGGGTCTGTGTGTTCTCATTAGGTCAGGTCAACTGTTTCTGTGGGTTTCTCCAGCACCATCTTTGTTCATTTGTTCATCCCTCCTCCCTCTCCGCTACTGGATTCCAGGAGTTCGGCTCAGTGTTTAGCTGTGGGTGCCTGTTTCTGCTTCGATCAGCTACTGGGTCAAGGTTCTAGGAATGGTAACCAAGGTAGTCATCAATCTCATTATAGGGAAAGGGCATCAAAGGCAGCCTCTCTACCACTGCCTAGATTCTTAGTTGGGGTTATCCCTGTGGATCCCCTACCATTTCCTCTGTGCCAGACCTCGCTCCAAACTTATACTGGCTCCCTCTATCAAGGTATCTCCTTTCTTGCCCTCCTCTATTCCTCCCCTGTCTCAGTCCTCCTGTTCTCCATCCCCCCCTTTTCTCCTGAACATAGCACCAGTAGCACAGACACTGAGGTCAACAATTAATAAATGGGACCTCCTGAAACTGAGAAGCTTCTGTAAGGCAAAGGACACAGTCAGCAAGACAAAACAGCAGCCCACAGAATGGGAAAAGAACTTCACCAACCACACATCTAACAGAGGACTGACTGATCTCCAAAATATACAATGAACTCAAGAAGCTAGCCACCAAAACCCAATTAAAAAGTGGGGTGCAGCCAGGCGTTGGTGGCTCACGCCTTTAATCCCAGCACTTGGGAGGCAGAGGCAGGCGGATCTCTGTGAGTTCGAGACCAACCTGGACTACCAATCGAGTTCTAGGACAGCCTCCAATGCCACAGAGAAACCCTGTCTCGAAAAACCAAAAAAAAAAAAAAAAAAAAAAAAGAAAAAAGAAAAAAAGTGGGGTGCAGAACTAAATAGAGAATTCTCAATAGAGGAATCTAAAATGGATGAAAGACACTTAAGAAAGTGATCAACATCCTTAACCATCAGGAAAATGCAACTCAAAACAACTCTGAGATACCATCTTACACCAGCCAGAATGGCTAAAATCAAAAACACCAGTAACAAGCCGGGCGTTGGTGGCTCACGCCTTTAATCCCAGCACTCGGGAGGCAGAGGCAGGCGGATCTCTGTGAGTTCGAGACCAGCCTGGACTACCGAGCGAGTTCCAGGACAGCCTCCAAAGCCACAGAGAAACCCTGTCTCGAAAAAACAAACAAACAAACAAACAAAAAAAAAAACACCAGTAACAGTCTATGCTGGAGAGGATGTGGAGAAAGAGGAACACTCCTCCATTGCTGGTGGGAGTGCAAACTTGTACAACCACTTTGGAAATCAGTATGGTGGTTTCTTAGGAAAATGGGAATCAGTCTACCTCAAGATCCAGCAATTCCTCTCCTGGGCATATACCCAAAGAATAGACATTCATACAACCAGTACATATGTTCAACTATATTCATAGCAGCATTATTTGAAATAACCAGAACCTGGAAGCAACTAGATGCCCTTCAACTGAAGAATGGATAGAAAAAATGTGGTACATTTACACAATGGAGTACTACTCAGAGGAAAAAAAACAATGAAATCTTGAAATTCACAGGCAAATGGATGGAACTAGGAGAAACCATCCTGAATGAGGTAACCCAGTCACAAAAAGACAAGCATGTCATATACTCACTCATATATGGATTTTAGACATAGAGCAAAGGATTAGCAGCCTACAATCCACACTGCCAGAGGAGCTAGGAAACAAGGAGGACCCCAAGAGAAGAATGCATGGTCCCCTGAAGAAGGGGAGCATGGGGGAAGAGAGGAGAGTCTGCCACCATTTAACTTCAATAACTTCTTGTTCATCAATTTCTTCAGTTCAGCGTGGGGGAGTTTGTTCATGGTGACTTCTCAATAGGATCCGCGGGAATCAAAAACTATGTTTGATGTTTGTTTTTGAGACAAGGTTTCTTTATGTAACCTTGGCTGTCCTGGAACTCACTCTGTAGACCAGGCTGACCTCAAACTCAGAGATCCACCTCCCTCTGCCTCCTGAGTGCTCAGCCCACACCATTTCTCCACTTCAAAATAGTTCTTCAAGACCAAACAAGCCAAGTTATGTCTATGTGTGTTATTACTAATATTTTTAGTAGTTTGGGAGGCGGTGTAAGTACATTCAAACCAATGGAGATAAAGGGCTACTAGGTCTGCTTTTCTCTTGTAAATAGCCAAAAATCCTGTCACCAAGATGGCAGTTACTGTGTTCAGTGTTCTGGAATGTGAGGACTTGGCCTGTAGGGAATGCTTCACTCTCTGGATAGGAAAGCACCAGGACCATGTCATGTTCTTGCCTGATGGAGCAGGATATTCAAGAACAGATGCTAGAGTTCTTTGCTCAAAGGCCCCCATAACCCTTTAATAAAGATACCCAAAGTCTCTTGTTTAGCAAATAGAGAGGCATGACCTAGCATAGGCACGTGCTAGGAAGTGTGTGAGGTTCTGCTCAGGGTCAGGGAGTAGTCGTGAACAAAACCAACATACACAAAGTGGGTATAGGGCCAGTAAGATGGCTCAGTGGGTAAAGGCACCTGCCCCCAATCCAATGACCTGAGTTTGGTCCCTGGGACTCACATGGTAGAAGACAACTGACTCCCGCAAATGTTCTCTGACCTCCATATGCACTATGACATGTTTGTAAGAATGCACACACGCCGGGCGGTGGTGGCACACGCCTTTAATCCCACCACTCGGGAGGCAGAGGCAGGCGGATCTCTGTGAGTTCCAGGCCAGGCTGGACCAACAGCCTCCAAAACAATACAGAGAAACCCTGTCTCATAAAACCAAAAACAAACAAAAAGAATGCACACACAACAAATATATATTGTGGAACGCTATTAGTGAGTGTGTGATATACGTGTGTATAGGTACACATGTACAGCAAGCAGCAGGTGTGGAGGTCAGAAGACAGCTGTTAGTGTGTATGTGATATATGTGTGTGATTATGGGTACACGCGTGCAACAGAAGGTGCGGAGGTCAGCAGACAGCTCTGTGGAGTTAATTTCTCTCCATCCTAATGTGGTCACTGGGGACTAAACTCGGGTCACCAGACTTTCTCCATGAGCCGGCTCCCTTACCGTCCAGCTCTTTGTCCGTTGTGGGTGGTATTTTTGAAGTGTGTAAGCCAATTGATTTTCTCTGCTGTAAAATCACTTCTCCCCTTTTTGTTAAATAGCATTTGGAAGCTTATAAATAGTATACAAAACAACACTATTAAACCATCTATATATAATAGTAATACTGTTTTATTATTCAGATTTTCAACTCTAAGCAACTTTCAACAGTATTTTTAAATATTTATTTATTTAATATGTATACAGTATTCTGTCTGCATGTATCCCTGCAAGCCAGAAGGGGGCACCAGATCTCATTACAGATGTTTGTGAGTCATAATGTGGTTGCTGGGAATTGAACTCAGGACTTCTGGAAGACCAACTAGTGTTCTTTTGTGTGTGTGGGGGGTGGCTTTAGGATAGGGTTTCTCTGTGGCTTTGGAGTCTGTCCTGGAACTCGCTCTTATAGACAGGCTAGTCTCAAACTCACAGAGATCTGCCTGCCTCTGCCTTCTGAGTACTGGGACTAAAGGCATGCGCCACCATGGCCTGGCATCAGCTAGTGTTTTGTGGGTTTTTTGGTTTTTTTTAAAGCCCATCAATATGTCACTTGTGTAAAAAGGTTTTGACTTGATGAGCAACAAGGGTGGCAGTGCTGTGTCACAGAAGCATGAGGAGAGGAATCCTAGTGCAGGATGAGAGTGGCAGTACTGACTGATCCCCGAGCTGGTAGGAGGGCAGAGTAGGAGAAGCCAACCTCACTGTCAAGGAGAGGTGTGTAGATGCCCGCCTGCCTGGCAAAATAATCTCTATTAGCTAATAATGTTCTATTGTCTGTAATTTAACCATTACCTTGCCATTAGCGATTGGAGCATGTCAAATTCCAAATAGTCAAGGATGCCATTTCAAATACTATATGTACCAGAATCTCTGCTGGCTGCTTTCCAGACATTGCCTCATCCGTTCTACCGGGATATTACTATGCTCTGCTTACAGATGGGAAAAACTGCTGTTTACTTGGTTTGAGTACTTGCCCCTATCACAGTTAGGGGAGGGAAGGTTCATGCCATGTTCCTTCCTTCCTTTCTTTCTTTTTTTTTGGGGGGGTTTCGAGACAGAGTTTCTCTGTATTGTTTTGGAGGCTGACCTGGAACTCACAGAGATCCGCCTGCCTCTGCCCCCCCCCCCCCCAGTGCTGGGATTAAAGGCGTGCACCACCAACACTCGGCTCATGCCATGTTTCTTCTTTTTTTTTTAATTTAAAAGTGAATTTATTTTTTTTCACAGAGAGATTCTTTAAATATATATATATTAATATTTATTTATTTATTTATTTATTATGAATGCAACACCCTGCCTCCATGCCTGCACGCCAGAAGAGGGTACCAGATCTCAATTATAGATGGTTGTGAGCCACCATGTGGTTGCTGGGAATTGAACTCAGGACCTCTGGAAAAGCAGTCGGTGCTCTTAACCTCTGAGCCATCTCTCCAGCCCCATGCCATGTTTCTTGACCCAGAAGCAAACACCAAAACTAAAAACAAACAACAAAAAAAACCAGCAGCAGACATCTGTCTTCCTCTTTGCTGTCCAGTATTGCCATCAGGAAGATGACAGGAGACAGTCCTGCTGTGCTGACCCACGCTTCCCTCCACACCTCTCCTGAGAGTCCCTATACTTCTTTGAGAGTCCTTCCTGCCAGCCTGGCTTCAGCTCTCACACATGGCTCCCCTTGGCATCCACCGGACTGCATGGTCCCAAAGCTCTTCTCTTTCGGCTCATCTTGGGTTGGTTCAAGAAAGGGGGAAACCGGTTGGTAGTGACACACACTTTTAATCCCAGCACTTGAGAGGCAGAGGCAGGCCGATCTCTATGAGTTCGAGGCCAGCCTGGTCTACAAGAGCTAGTTGCAGGACAGCTAGGGCTACATGTAGAAACCCTATCTCAAAAAACAAAAATTAAAAAAAAAAAACAAAAGCGGGGAGGCTATATGCCAGGCAAACTAACTTGCAACTGTATTCCTCTTCCTATGAAGCATTTTAATAATTGTATAAAATATAATAAAAGCATTCTAATTTTTTTTGGAAACTAAAATATCCAGGACTGGAGGCAAGCTTTTTATAAGGACTCAGGCACATAGTTCAGAGGTAGGGTGTATACTCTTTAAGGGTATACACTAAGAACAACACTCTAGACAGCCCTTTTATTCCAGTGTGTAATGTGTGCAGCTGTGTGTAGCATGGCACTCAGAGGGCGACTTTCAGAGAGTTGATTCTCTGCTTCTACCTTGTTTCTGCCATGCTGCTATTCCAGGCTAGTTTGCCCTTGAACTTTTGGGCAGTTCTATCTCTGCCTCCCATCTAACCATTGGAGTACTGGGGGGTCAGGTGTGTGCCACTGCACTTGGCTTTGTATGAAGTTCAGGAATGGACTTCAGGTCAGGTGTGCATGGCAAGCACTTTTACCTACTGAACCATCTTGCTGGCTTCTAACATACTTGTTATCAGGTAAAAACTGGGGGGAAGATTCCCCACCATTTTTCTCCATTCTGAGTGGATTGGCAAGCATGCACAGGTCATCAGTTCTTTGCTGTTAGGGGCTGGCTTGACAATACATTGAGAGAAAAGAATATCACATTTGGTCCCCTCTCATTTTTCTGACCTCCTTCAGGTCAGTAGTTCCTTTCTTCACCAGGTTCCAGTGTGAGTAGTAACTCCTATGGGAAGGTAATCTATGTGGCCTTTGCCTGTTGCCTCACATCCTGGGCTATGTATTCTTGTCTTTGCCCCCCACAGTAAGACCTTGGCAAGGAGCAAACAGTAGCTCCGATTCTCCTGTAGTTACTGAGTAACTCAAGGCTTGGCCTCTCCGTGGAGCTTTGGTACAACACAGCACAAAAGCAAAGGCATCTCTAGTTCCTCTGTATTTCCAAAAGGGCTTTAGGTTAATTATAGCATCTTAGGACCATAACTAAGGTGGGATGAAGCTTATCAAAAGACAAACCGCACATAATCATAGTGGTGGCTTTTCACAGAGTCTTGAAGCATCTGACTGGAATTTGCCCCAATACTCAGAACAGTTAGAAAGTTCAGTTTGGGTTTCAGGGAAATCAAACCAAACAGCAAATATTTACCCAACTTGTCCGGTGCACACAGCTGTGGGCGTTGAATGTTCTAGCATTCAATAAACATTTACATTTTAAGAGGTTCAGGTTCCGAAGGGTTTTGCTGAATTATCAGATAGACTTCCTTAATGGAAAGATTATCAAGACTTTCTTTTTGAGGCATTACCATTTCTTAACAGGAATACTAAGCAAGGTTGGGAGGCTGCACAAGAGACAGTTGCATGGGGTCAAAGCTCATTGCATGAACATTAGTTGAGAAGCTCTGGGTGGTAAGAGAAAACCACAGAGAAGAGGAAAAGCAGAGCACAAAGACAGTGAGTGAAAAAGTCCCTGGAGTCACTGAGGTGATTTAGTGGGCCCTGGAAGCAGGGGAAGAAACATGGTAAAGCTGGGGCAAACATGTGTGCCATGATGACTGGAGACCAGTCATGGGACTGCCCCCTCTTAGGCACATCTTCCAAGCCTTGCTCTAGAAAATCTCACCAAGTTAAGGGACAGGGAGGACCTGAGGCCCAGGGCTAGAGGTGGCTCAGCAGCTAAGAGCACTGGCTGCTCTTCCAGAGGACCCCGTTTCAATTTCCAGCACCACATGGCAGCTCACAGCTGTCTAACCCCACTTCCAGAGGATCTGATGCTGTCTTTTGGCTTCATTGGGCACTGCATACAT